CGGCCTATGAGGCTGAGATGGCCCCGGTGAGGCTGAGACGGCCCCTGTGAGGCTGGGACGGCCCCTGTGAGGCTGTGACGGCCCCTGCAAGGCTGCGACGGCCCCTGGGAAGCCGAGAAAAATACCACATTATCTCATTTATGGATAATAAAGACCATTATAAACTGATGAACAAAAATAGATACAGAGGCAGAGCAGCCTCGAACAGACTGCCAAACTGCAGCGGGAAGGCTGGGGAGGGTTGTGAGGCAGGAGCGGGGGGGTTGGGGGGGTAAGAGATCAATCGAAGGACTGTATGCATGCATATAAGCATAACCAATGGGCATAAGACATTGCAGGGTAGGGGAGGCCGGGGAATGACAAGGGGTGGGGGAAGGAGACATATGTAATACTCTTTGTAATACTTTAAGCAATAAAACAAAAAAGAAAAAAGAAAAAAAAAGAAATGGCTGCCATTCAGCCCTACACTGGGGAGGTCTCAGCACAGGAACAATGACCACTGTGAGCACCTCTGTCTGGAAGAAAGCCACTCCCACATTCCTTCCCTGAAGCCAGACAGTCCAGTTTCTCCTTGTATGTGTCTGGTCCCCCAGAGCCTCACCAGGCACTGGAGCTCAGAGAAAGCAGAAACTTGTAAGTTCAGTTTATAGTGCCAGCCTTTTAAGAGGAGGAGCTGGGTCTCCAGCAGCCTCTGTGTCACTGAGCCCCAATTCGCACTGGTTTTTACAGCCCATAGTTCTTACTGCCGTAGGGACTTATTTCCCCAGCTCTGGAACCCTGGGCTGGGGGCCTGGTGTGGGGCTCGGACCCTTTGCTCCTCTGGGCGGCCTCTGTAGAGGCGATCTCCCTCCTGATTATAAAAGCTGCATACATGGGTGCCGGACCAGCCCATTCTGTGCCTCCGCACCTCCTACCAGTCTCAATGCGCTTTCTTCTTTACTTCTCTAGTTGTAGGACTTCCACTCAGCCAGCTTTCCCATGGTTCTGGATGATAGTTGTTCTGTATTTTAGTTGTAATTTTGATGTGGTTGTGGGAGGTAGCAAGTACAGGTGTTTACCTATGCCGCCATCTTGGTTCCTCTGTTGGAGAGTCTTAAGCAGAATGACCTGCCCAGCTCAGGGCTAACAGGACCACACTGGCTGCTGCTTGGGGACCAGTGTGAAGAGGAACAGGGCAGAAGGGGGTGACCTGCACATGCTCAGGCAGAAGCTCCGTGGTGGGCTGGGTGGGTTCAAGTTTCAGGCGGTGGTGCTCTGGGCTCTGGGAGCTGCCTCCAGCTTAGAGCTGGGGACAGGGCTTCATTCTCTGAGCTTTCATTTGAACCTTGGTGTAGTTTCACACTGGGACTTGAGAGAACCTGAGGTATCTGCCCCAGGGGCACCTTAGGGTACAAGTGCCCTTCCACAAAGCACACACACTGAGGGTGCCTGCTCTTCCCAGGCCTGTGCTAGACCGTCACTCACACAGCGGTCCTGGGTCAGGCAGGGGTTGTCTCCTGTTACCCCAAATTCTCTCTCCACCAGCAGCTTCCTCCAAGCATCCTCACCATTTACACTTGGACTTGATTCTAAGTGAGATGATCAAAAGCACTGCAAGTTTTTAAGCCAGGGAGTGGCATGATCGGATGTACAGTTTATATCCATTTCTATCCTTCTTGTGTGGAGGATGGATTGCATGGCTGACATGGAGATGGGACTAGCTTTGGGCTGTGATTTGGAGGTAGAATTAATGGGGAGGGTAGAGGGAATCAGAGGTAATGCTAGTCCTTTGGTTTTAATAATGGGATGATGACATTTTTAAAAAATATATTTTGAGTTTAGACAGGAATGGAGAGGGAGAGAGAGAGATGGAAACATCAAGGATGAGAGAGAATCATTGATTGATGCCTTCTGCATGCCCCCTACTGGGGATCAAGCCTGCAACCTAGGCATATGCCCTGACCGGGAATTGAACCCAGGACCCTTCAGTTGCCAGGCCGACACTCTATTCACTGAGCCAAACCAGCCAGGGTTACATTTTTTTTTTCTAGGATGAGGAAGACAGGAAAGGAATAAGTTGGCTGGAAAAACATCAAGACTGCCTGGCATGTCACATTTCATTGTTCATTGGAGACCTATGAGGAAACAGGCTGTGAATACTGGAGTCTAGACTTCCCGGAGGAGATCAGGAACAGAAATCTAGGTTTGGGAAGCTCTGGCCTATAGATACTATTTAAAGCTCTTGTATTTGAGGTCACCTTGGGAGGGTGTGCCGAACGAGGAGGTGGCCCATGACAAGGTCTGGGCTGCTCCAATATTTAAAAAGGGGTCTGGAGGGAAAGGTACCAGCGGAGGAAACTGAGAATGAGCAACTGGTAGCCAACTCTCAGCCCAATGCTGCTGAGCAGCGAGTTAAAGTCAGAACAGAAGGTAAGCATTGGGAATGGCGGTGGGGGGCCTGCAGGTGCCTCAGGGAGAGCAGGAGTCTGACTGAACAGGCCGAGGAAACCTCTGCTGTGGAGGAATTCCTTCCTGAGGAGAAGCCCAGAAACTTCGTCCCTCTTCATTCTGGTCCCTGCTCAACAGACTCCTAACATCAACACAATTCCAAGAAAGCTCCTTAAGTCCTTCAAACTGATGCAGTCTTTTGTAGAAATAAGGGTGAATGTTAATGGCTGATCTTGGAAAAGTTTAAGTGAAGAGGCCGGGCAATTTAGACAGAGATGGAATGTTAAAAACCAATATTGAGTTACACAAATAAAATATTGATGGGGTGATTATTCCATTGATGTTTGAGAGTTTGCAACACACACACACACACACACACACACACAAATTGTTATTAGTCAGCCCCTTACGATAGAATACCTAATTTCATGGCTGATAAAACATAAGAATGAGCATGCTCCTCAGCATGCATTTACCAAGTCCCCGGCGTGTTATGGGGAAGAGGACATCTGGAGACGAACAGTGTAATGATGGCAACAGTGGGAACATAAATGTGCAAAATGAAGGCTCAGCTAAGTCCCCAACTCTTCAGACTGGCTACTCAGCAGGACAGGCCTAACTGATGGGGCCGGCTGTGAACCAGGAGGTCACCTCAGTGAGCGAGTGCAGGGAGGATGCCGGCCTGTGGCTAGCAGAGACAGTCAGCTCAGTGGACATGGCTGGATAAGAGGGGCACTGGGCATCTTCCCGGAAGTGGTCTGTTACCAGGAGCTTATATCCACGTACAGTTGAAGTGCAATTCAACTGAATACACACAAGTTTGCTTTCATGATGGAGCATTTGGGAAAAAGAATCTTCCTTTTGGGACTTGAAGTATATCTAATCGCATGCATCCTATTTCCATTTCACATGGACTCCCTTGTGCTTTACGTTAGCAAAGATGTATTGAGAACTTATTCTGTGCAAAGCACTGGACTGACGTTGCCTTAAACAAATGCACAGAAGAAAGAAACTAGCCCTGAATATTGAATTTGTCTCCTAAACCGAATGAGCTGCTGACATGCTGGTGCTGTTCCCAATGGGCATGGACACCACACATTTAGTTCCTACCAGCGCGTGGCCCCCGTCTTCCTCGAAGTCCTCCTCTACGCCATCGGTCATCTCCTCGCCGTCTGCGTCGGGCCCTCCTTCTGCAGGCTCCTCGGGAGAGTGGTCTGCATTCTCCGACACACATTCCTCTTGGATCAGCTCTATGCTCTCTTCCAATTGCTTCTTCTGAGCTTCTGGGGGAAGGGAGGGGAGAAAGCAAATGATTACTACCTTGGGTTGCTCATGCGCCATTTGGATAAACCACGAGAAAAAACAAACAAACAAACAAATAGTCTACAGAAGGTACACTACCGCTGAGCTGTGAGGAAGATAAGGTCCTGTGAATTTCAGTCAAATTTATTCAGTCATGTATAATATGTACATATGTCTATTTTACATGTATGCTTACTTATTTTTTAATGGAAATGGAGGAAATTGGGGAATCCAAATGATACTGGTAGATAAAGAATAAAGATTTACATAAATAGCCCAGCTAGTGTGACATGGAGGTTGAGTGTCAACCAAGGAACCAAGAGATTGCTGGTTCGATTCCTGGTCAGGGCACATGCATGGGTTGCAGGCTTGATCCCCAGTGTGGGGCGTGCAGGAGGCAGCTGGCCAGTAATTCTCTCTCATCATTGATGTTTCTATCTCTCTCTCCCTCTCCCTTCCTCTCTGAAATGAATAAAAAATATACTTTAAAAAGATGTACATAAATAGATTGATCTTTCTGGCTATACAGGGTGGGGCAAAAGTAGGTTTAGTTTATTCTTGTATTTTTTTTATTAATGATTGCATTATTTTCCATATGAACAACTGTAAACCTGCTTTTGTCCTTACCTGTATATATGTTCTCTCTGAGGAGAAAATATATCAAAAACTGAGGGGATCAAGTAAAACACAGAGCTTGCTCATTGGAGGACGGAGGGTGAGAATGCTCACTGACAGGTCCAAACCTACGTGAGAAGGACAAAAGCTCACTGGGATAAAAAGCTCAGAAGCAGGTATGTCATCGTTCAGACAACACGTCTAAGTGGATGATCCTTTGAAATTTTAGTCTAAGTCCTGTTGGCAGGTGGGGTTCACCACACAGTTGAGAATCAAGCTCTGGTGTGGGGTGGCCTGAGCTCTGCATGGAGCCACCTCCTTCCCCAGCTTTGGGAAGCGGACAGAGAGTGAGAGCTCTCCATGAGTCTCAGCTCCTCAGCCTGCAAGCAGGATCTCCACTGTGTAACTCCCAGGGGTTGGAGCAGTAACTCAAAGTGCCTAGTAGAGTCCTTTGCAAACCATCAGTGCTCAGAAGACAAAGCAGAGAAGGTCCCAGGAAGGCTCTAAAGTGGTTGTTGTAAGACTTCATATAGCTACACTAATAAAAGACAAAGATGCTAATTGACCATACCTTTGCTATGCCCAAGCCACGCCCACCAGCCAATCAGAGCGACTATATGCAAATTAACCAAACCAAGATGGTGGCCGGCAACCACAGAGCTGGAGCAAGCAGGAGGCTTGGTTGCCCTGGCGATGGAGGAAGCCAAGCTTCCCCGCTGCCCTGGCCAGCTGTGGCCTCAGCTCAAGGCAACAAAGTTTCAATTATAGAAGACAAATAAATCCCAGATACCTGCTTCCAGCCAGCCTCCACTGGGAGCTTGGGTGGCTGGGGGCTGTGGCCAGCCTGCAAACAGCCATCAGCCCCTCACCCAGGCTGG